ATCCTCCAGAGGATATTGGCGGTAGCTGAAAACATTTCTGGTCATCACAAATGGTTGGGGCGCTGTAGATATCTCATGAGTAGAGGCCAGGACTGCTGCTAAACATCCGACTGGGCACAAGAGAGCCCCACCCCCATGTCAAACAAATATTGAGGCCAATATGTCAATAATATTGAGGTTGAGAAACCCTGGCCTAGCTACCTTAAGAAATGGACAAAATTGATAACTCCCAACTTTTAGATCCTGAGCTACATCCAGCCCAGATACAAGGAGAGCCTAAATCCTTGAGGACATTGATTGCATGGAGACCTTCTCTAAAAAGCACAGTTGGAAGTGTCATGGCAACCATTATTTTTTTCCACTGAGGTGGTGGAGAGACATCTCTTCCACTTCCACACCAAACAAGGGGACTTCGAGGCTCTGGGGCTAAAACATATTCAGAGACAACGTCTGTATAAAAAGTCCCCTCTGTCTTGCGGTTTAGATGGAAAAAGAGGCCAGTGATGACTCTCACCTAAAAAGTCAAAAGATGATGTCAGGTCATAGCAGACTTGGTAACTTGGGCCAACTTTCCTACTGAAATCAACTAAATAATCTTAATAAAATATAATCTTCCTAAGAATTATCCTAGGGGTAACTTTCACCTTAGTAAATGGACTGCTGATTACTTATTTGGTATCAGATAGATATGGGTAAAACTGACCATTGGAACAGTCTCAGAAATGAATGATCTGGGCACTGGGCTCTGAACCACCCATTTCCACTGTTAACACCTGTCACAGGTGCCTTTTTCCTCTTCCTGTTCCAGGCTCCACGTCTATTCCTCATCCTTCTTCTTGAGCATAAAGCCTGAGCAGACAGGATGTTATGGCTACAAATATTCATTTGCTCTTCCCTCTTGGAATGTGAATTTGTTCCCCTACTTCTTCGATTGGTTGAGGGATTTTTAAAAAATTAATGTTTTATTCCTTGACAACTTTGGCTTTTGTTAGAAATGCTATTCTTTTGTTTATAGTTGCATGTGCACAGATATATCTGAAGCAATTGAAAACATTTATTTCAATAGGAGAAATGACATTTTCATTGCAGAGTGTCCAGATTTAATTCTTCATATACACATGTACCAACAAGCGCCAAATCAGGTTTTTGTGGATCAGATAATTCTTTGGAAAAAAACCCTTGTTCAATATTAGTTACAGACAAATATAACCCTGAGGCACATAAAATTCTGTATGTTCTTCTTTGGTCTTTAAAATAAAATATGCAGAAGAGGGAGAGAACATGATGACCTATTATAAAGACCCCTAGACCTACAGTAGTATTATAGCCAAGTTAATAAGCACACATACCCCACATACTCCCCAACACTGAACAATACTGGTCCCAAGCCCAGACCTCAGCCCTGACTGGGCATCACACTCAGACTGCACTACTTCCTGAGCCTCTCTGGTCAGTGCCTCAGTATCAGAAGAAAGAAGAAAGGGAGTCTGATGGCTATCAGTTGTACCCCCACAGATGTCACTAACCATGTCACTCAAATGTCTGGTATTGACTTGGGTTCCTACTTAGAGACTGTGTATGTTGAAACTGTCTGATTATCTCAGAGAGAAGCAAGACACAGTATTTCTTTTTTTTTAATTTTTATTTATTTATTTTTAATTTCTTTTCAGTGTTCCAGAATTGTTTATGCACCACACGCAGTGCTCCATGCAATACATACCCTCCTTAATACCCACCACCAGGCTCACCCAACCCCCCACCCCATCCCCTCCAAAACCCTCAGTTTGTTTCTCAGAGTGCACAGTCTCTCATGGTTCATCTTCCCATCCAATTTCCCCCAACTCAATTCTCCTTTCCATCTCTTCATGTCCTCCATGTTATTCCTTATGCTCCACAAATAAGCAAAACCATATGACATTTGAGTGTCTCTGCTTGACTTACTTCACTCAGCATATTCTCTTCCAGTCCCGTCCATGCTGATACAAAAGTTAGGTATTCATCCTTTCTGATGGAGGCATAATACTCCATAGTATAAATGGACCATATTTTTATCCATTCATCCTTTGATAGGCATCTTGGTTCTTTCCACAGTTTGGCAACTGTGGCCGTTGCTACTATGACCACCGGGGTACAAATGGCCCTTCTTTTCACTACATCTGTATCAAGGAGCAGTATTCCATTCCCCACAGACTTTCAGCAATTGTGAAAACTCAAGCTGAAGGTGCTGGCAATGCACAAAATGGAATTGATTACCATTTAGCTCCATTGGCTGCCAGATAATTAGCTAAATGTTGTGTCTGTCCAGGAAATCATGCGTTCATCATAAAAATTTGTAAATAAACTTATTTGGAAGAAAGAATTGATGCTTAGAGAGGAAGAGATATGTTTCTAAATACATAGTCCATGCTTTTTTTTTGATTGCACTATTAAGTCACTTTGAATTCCCTTAGTGTTTGTTAACTTTACAAGAATATATTCTGGCATTTGCCGATAAACACAGGTGGTCCCACTCCTGCTGCCCAGCCCAGCAGAGCCTGGTCAGCAAAGAATGACCAGTCACTCAAGAAGCCAGGGCAAAAGGGTCACAGCAGGCAGACATCTGAAAGAGTTCCTGTCTGCCCCAAGACTCTACCTGCTAGTGGAGAGAAAGGGATAAGGAAAATCATGTATCTTCTCTGTATTGTGATCTTGCTTTAGCAGAATATATCATAGATCAACAAGGAGAGTGGTCAAAACCTTGTACATGGACTAAAGGGCAGAAAAGGAAGGGGCAGAAAGGGAGGGAGAAAGAGAATGCAATGTGGAGTCCAACATGAGGAATGGATCTCACAATTCTTGAGATCATGACCTGAGCCGAAATCAAGAGTCAGACGCTAACCTAATGAGCCACCCAGGCACCCCACAATTAAAATATTATTCAACAAAGTCATTTTTCCATTTTTCAGTAATAATAAAAATATAACTTGAAAATATAAAAACCACATATTATTGCCAGGCAGAGAATGTATATTATGTTCATTATCATTTTTAGAGTGATAACATAATTAAATTCCTGAAAAATATTAGCAACTGCCCCCGCAGAACAATGTATTACTTAAAATATAACCCTCGGGATATTTTACTAGTTACCAAGCACATTTAGATACAGCCTTAAGAAAAACAGATACTGAAACAGGCCTCTGGGGGAGAGGACGATATATGGCCTTGAAGCTGAGCAGCTGGGGATGCCCGGCTCGCTCAGGCGGAACATTTTTCCGTTATCTCCCCTTTCCCCCCCCCCGGAGAGCACCCGTGGCTACTTAGATAAGTCCTTTGAATGTGCTTGTTCAACTATAAACTTTATACTACTTGTACAGACATACTCTGCCCTCCTTCTTGTTTATCTACAAGGCATATGACTAACGTTTGACCTTCATCGACTCTTCTGTTGGTTACTGTTTCTATCTAATAAAAGCAAGACTGTGGAGTTGCTCGGGGCAGCCGTCTTTTCGACTGTTGTCCCCTGCTCCCAATCTCTTGCAGCTGACTTCTTTGTGCCTAATTCTTCCCCCATTTGCTGACTGGAAGTGGCAATATTTATTGCAGCAATTATAGATATAGAAACTCAGATATGAAATAATTAAATAACTCAGCTACCATCCAAAGGAGTAAGTAGTATAGGAGGGTACTTATTTTCATAGGTCATTAAAAACATACACAGTGACATTTTAAGGATCTGATAAATTTTCAAAACATGAATGGGTTTCAAAACTAAATGGGTTAAGTGGTGAAGAAGGGTGTTTAATTAACTCTGGCACTTAAAAATAATCTGCTCATAGATAATTTAAAGAATTCCAATATTTCTTACAATAATAAGTTAACCAAATAAAGAAAATATGAGGCCAAATACGCAAATGCACATTTTTATATAAAATTCCAAGCACTTTTTTTCTATTTGTAAATATATAAAAAAAATTCAAAGCAACACTAAATGATAGGTGTCTGGTATTGTTATTTTCATATCTCATTTTTCTCATATTTTCTTCAAGGAACAACTCTTACTTATATGTGTTCTTATATTTACAGGCTCTGTGTCTTTGCATAAGTCACTTCTCCTTTCCACTGTCCTCTTTTGTGAAGTGGAGATTAATCATAATAGCTATCACATGGGGCTACAGAGAGGATTAAATAAAATAGTACAAGAAAATGTTTTAAAACAATATTTGACAAATTGCAAGTCCACAACAAATATTAGATGTATATTAGTTATAAAGCTTATTATTAGATATGAAATACAACACTTCTTTGAAAATGATCATGCCTGTGACATCATGCTTATGAGACAGTTGCAAAGCTCAGGGCAAGTAGAAGTTGATTTCCAGAGATTGCTCTGACCCCTGTATTCCCAGCAATTGCAGCCTAGTCCCTTCTTGGAAGTACCTAAATTGCAAATAAAATTTAATTTCTTTGAGTCCTAATCTGCCTGGTGACATCTCAATTAACTTTAGAAAACACAAAATACTCTGGTGCTTATGTACATATTCAGTAATGTCAATGAGATATTTCAGTGTCTGGTTGTTGTTTTGCTGTGCTGTGTTATAAAGAGTAAAGGTCAGATATCCTATTTGAGTCTTGAATCAACTACAAATTAGACAGACAGACATAGGGGCTGAACCCAGCAGGCATGTCCTTACTTTTCTACAGTACAGGATTCCAGGGGAGATGGCTAAGTGGGTGTGAGAATTATCCTATCCTGGGCTAGATGGATGCATTCACACCAGGAATTTCTTTCCAGATTGAGAGCCTTCTTACCCCATCTGCCCAGCACTCACAGGGAACAGGAAACCCCAGACCTGCTCAGATCTGTGGCTGATCATGCACAACCCCAGGGAACTATCTAGGTCACCACTTCTTCTGAGAAACCTGAACCAGCTCCACCCTCCAGCCACTGACCTGACAAGTCCTGCTAAAAGGGACCTCACTTCTTACCTTGTCACTGGGGAGCCAGCCAGGCCAACGAGATGCCACTGCTAGAAGCTCTCATCTTCTCATCCCTCTTGGCCTGTGAGTTGTCCCCCAGTCACTTCAGTCAATAGAGGAGACTGAAGAAATTGTTTCCATGTAATTTGTTCATGGGAATTTCTCTTTTCGGTTGCAGTTGGCCTTGGGCAGGCGACATTGGAGCAACATGAAATATCAGTTTCCAGAGCAAGAGATAAGAGTGCCCACATATCATGCAACGTGTCTGCTAAGGACTTCAACAGTGAAACCATATACTGGTACTGGCAGAAACCAGATCAGGAGATAGAATATCTAACAGATGTCATAACAAACCGTGTTCAAGTTCCCTTAGACGGGAAGAACAACAAATTTGAGGCAAGTAAAAACACTCATACTTCCACTTCAACATTGAAAATAAATTTCCTAGAGAAAGAAGATGAGGCCGTGTACTACTGTGGCAGCTGGAATTGGATCCACAGCATCACAGTTGCCAAGAGAAGCTGTGCAAGAACCTCTTCAGGTCTGACCCACCCACATCCTTCTCAATATGGGCAACCGCAGAGGCTGCACAGCTGGGTGCCCATCCTGAGTCTTGCCCTCTGCAGTATTTCCTGAACTTTATATGAAGACATCATAGATTCTGCTCAGACAGTGAGCCCCATGTGATATCAACAATTATGGTCCAAATTATAGCAATCTGACACGATTTCCCACTAAATTCAACTGTCTGGAAACTATGAAAATACAGCGTGGATGGGTCAGAAAAAAAATCCATTTGTCTGTTATTTCACTGTGGAGAGAGGGAAGTCTAGTATCTGAATGGTTCAGAATGAAGACAGAAAGGGGTACACATTTAACATAAATATTTCTGGTTATTATTACTTACTGATGTTATTCATGGACATTACAGTTCTTTAGTGGTGCAATAATCTGTCAGATGTAAAAATTGTATGTCTTTTATTAGTGTCTGAGGCCATCCCGAAGGAATCCAGTGACCATTAAATCTCAAGGAAAACAATCAGCTATTTTGGGTATAGGAGAGACCAATGTATAAATCCTGTATCCTAGAAGTAGAAGTGGCACATCACTCCAGGTTCAGCAATCAGTGCTGGGCAAAAACCAGCACTGCCCCATTGGAAGAGGCCCCTGAGCACATCAGGCATCTCCAGCATGGGGGATATGCCTCTAACTTTGCTCTCCAGGGTTCTACAAAGAAACCAAAGATGCTGAATAAGGATCAGATGGTTAAAAAGAAGGATAATACACACTCCCTACATCTCAAAAGAAAGGTAATGTCCCTCACAAATTAATAAAATAAAAGATAATTATTGAGAATTGAGTTTTGTGATTAGTAACTGGTTGGCTATGAGTTTTCAAAAATAGGGAAACAGTGTAATGTGTGAAAATGTAAAAGTCCCCTCCCATCACTCAAGAGTCCACTTTCAAAGGATGAGGAAAACCTTTACTTCACAGAAAATTTGTTGCCTTTGGTAACATGGATATCTGATCACAGAATTGCTATACCTGCGGTTTACCTCTAGTTCCTGAGATCATGACATTCTCTTTCTAAGAATCAGGTGGTGTTATCAAATGCAGAGACACTATGGAAGCAGAATGAATTACTCCCACAGCAGAGTCAGCCCCTTTCCACAGGCGAACTCGGGATCTTGTGTCCCACACCCTGTCATCACGATTCCTGACTGGGGTGGGTCCCAGCAGGAGGAATCTGAGGGCCTGGGTCTCAACAGGGCCTCACCTGTCCTCTAAGGTATCTATAGAAACAAAGTAAGAAGACCCCTGAATGGAACATAGAGCAAGAAAACATGAACCCTTTCCAGGGAGGAGTAAATGAAAGAGGGATTAAGGTTTTCACAGTATGTGCTAAATACTTTACACAGATTATTTGATTAAACCAATAGAGCAGTACAGAACTGCATTGAAGTGGGCACATGGGGACTCATCTCAGGAGATGCAGCTACCCTGACTTTTCAACACACAACAACGGGGAAACACTACAGTGATGAACAGGAGGGAAGAGGGCTCCTTACCTATGAGGTTTTGAAGTGTCAAAGTACTATGGAGCCCTTAAAAACAAGTTTTTTGACCAATTATAACTAAACAAGCATAATCACCACATATTAGCAAGGAAAATGTCAAATACAGAAATGGTTTACATATAGTAAACTCTCCAAGGCATAAAAAGAACAAATGCAAAGGAATTCTTTAAAGAGTGGATGTTCCTGGAAGGATAGGTGTTTTTAATTCTTCTTGGTACATGTACAGATTTTGTACATTTTATCAAAAAGCTTCTGTTATGTATACATAACAGCCAAAATTTATTGATTTATACATTTAATAATGAGATTGTTCACGTAACAATATAGACTAAATCTATACCTATAAGAGATACTTAATATTATTATACACTTACCATTTTCTGTGGAATAATATTATATTATTACACTGTATCCCCCAGGGCGGGAGGGGGGAGGGACTGAAACACTACAATTAATCATAATGGTTACCACGGAACAGGAACTCAGCAAACTGTGTCTATACCTAGCAGCCCCCAGTTTTGTAAATAAAGTTTTACTGAAGCATAACTTTGTCCATATGTTTACAAATTATCTATAGCTGCTTTTGTACTACAATGGCAGAATTGAGTAGTTGCAACAGAGACTCACAAAGCCTAAAATGTTACCATTTAGCCCTCTACAGAAAACATTTGCCAGTCACCACTCTATGATACACTGAGAGTATATCATAGAGTGACATTGATTGTTATTTTAGGTTTTCCTATTTCTCAGTGTTTCTTCAATGACCCTTTACTACATATCCACCTTTCCCATATTGGCTGTCTTACTCTGGATAAATTGCATAATGTATCTCTGATTCACTTTCCTTATTTTAAAATGGAATATGTATTAACTTTAAGGAGGTGTCAGGAAGAGTAATGTCAATAATACATATAAAGCTCTTACAAGTGCTTGGAGCATGTCTAATGCTCACCATATTGAGACATTGCATTGCTTATATGGGTTATTATGGCATATTTGAAAATGAAATTATTTAGATCTGTATTCCAAGTCCTTGATACTCAAAGTTTCATTCATGGACCAGCAACATCCACTTCACCTAGGATCTTGTTACAAAGGCAGAAAATCAAACCTCAACTAGTGCTACTGAGTGTTAATCTCATTTTGCAAGTTTCCCACAAAGAAAGGCAGGCAGGGAGAAGGGGTCCCGCCTTGAGAGGAAACCACCTGTGAGAGGATTTTTCACACCTGGAAGGAGCCCTCCACCCTTTCCCACGTGAACAACTACTGAATAGGTAGATGAGTTTGTGAACAAAAAACCTGATTGGGGGGAGGAGTCAAGATGGCGGAGAAGTAGCAGGCTGAGACTACTTCAGGTAGCGGGAGATCAGCTAGATAGCTTATCTAAAGATTGCAAACACCTACAAATCCAACGGGAGATCGAAGAGAAGAAGA